AGCGTACCCAATTGTTCCCCTCACTCCAACAGAGCTACTTTGGTTTGACATTGTGGATTCTGATGAAATAAACTTTGCAAGCCCAAAATCCCCAACATGAGCAGTCATGTCGTTGTCTAGAAGAACATTGCTCGGCTTTAGATCACAATGAACAATTGGCTTCCCACAATGGTAATGGAGATAGTCAAGAGCGGAGGCGACATCAGTAGCAATGCTTATCCTCTGTAATAGGCTTAGACTCTGGACTCTGCTTTGGCCATTATTTGTTTCTTGAGCAGATGCATGCAACCAATTATCCAAGCTTCCATTGGGCATCAACTCATAAACTAGAGCCTTGAAATCATTTCCCTGAAAATCGATGCTTTAGCAAGAAGTTATGATCTTTACAAGGTTTCGGTGACGAATGTTCTTCAAGGCTTCACACTCTGCCATGAAACTCTTGGAAGCTCCTCGATACAAAAGATCAAGTACTTTGACTGCAACATGAGCTCCATCTTCTTCGAGAACTCCTTTGTAGACAGAACCGAAGCTTCCTTTACCAAGTAAATTTGTTGAAGAAAACCCATCTGTTGCTTTAAGGAGGCTTTGGTAAGAAAGTTGCCTTAGAGGCTCTTTCAAGGAGAATCTAGAAGACTGATCTCTGTTTTTTCTTTTAGTCTAACAGAGAAGGAAGATGGATCCAATAATTATCCCCATAAGTGAGATAACTATAATTATTATATGCACATGTGACAATTCCCCTTTCTTTGTTGCTTTGATGCTGCATTTAGGCAATCTAAGTTCAGGGATTCCCCCACAAATGTCCTTGTTTCCTTCAACAAGAACTACGCTTGCATTTCTGAAGATGCCTTTTGTTGGCACCTCTCCTTCCAAGTTATTGAAAGACAAGTTCAAATACTCCAATGCGAGATTTGCCATGAATTGAGGGATCTTACCTGTGAAGTTGTTGACAGAAAGATCAAGTTCCCGAATTCCTCTTAGAGAGCTTAAAAATTCAGGAAGGCTACCTCGAAAGTGGTTTCTATCAAGGTGAAGGACCTCTAGACTGGTGCAGCCAGTCAAGCTATTTGGAATTTCTCCTAACAACATGTTGTCAGATACATATAGTGAACCTAAGTGTCTCAATTGACCAACTTCTAAAGGTAGAGATCCAACAAGATGATTATAAGAAAGATCGAGCATAATACTCAAACTAGAAATGCTGAAAAGTTCTTTGGGTATGAAGCCGCTAAGATCATTTTGAGAAAGGTCTAGTTCCTCCAATTTTTGGCAGTTCCCAAGGCTTGAAGGTATGCTTCCATTTAACTTGTTTTGTTCTAAAAAAAGCGTATTCAATGATGTTAAGTTTCCAAAAGAATTTGGAATTTCTCCTGAAAGATTATTTCTGCCAAGAGATAATCTTTGAAGTTGTCCAAGTTGACCTATTTCTTTTGGAACTTTGCCTGTAAACTGATTTTCTTGCAATCGCAAATCATTTAAACTGACAAGATTCCCTAACCCTGGAGGGATGCCTCCGAAAAGGTTATTCTTTGCAAAGAGGAGGAAACTTAGTTGACTTGAGAGATTGGCTATAGATTTTGGCAATCTCCCGTGAAATTGATTTATACCAAGGTGTAAATATCGCAATTTGCTACAGTTGACCAAAGAAGTTAAAAAATTCATCTCATCAGCGTCTCCAGTTCCTAGATAATTATGATTCAAAAGTAGAACCCGTAGATGTTGTAGGTGCCCAAAAGGAACTGTTATCTTTCCTGAGAATTTATTTTTTTGCAATTGTAAAGTGTCAAGTTTTGAAGCATTGGAAAATGTTACTGGAATCTGCCCACTAAAGTTGTTTTTCCACATAGCGAAGACTGTTAGATGAGGAAGGGTGAGTCCTATATCCCACGGAAGATTTCCTTCAAGTTCATTACTGGATATGGTGAAAGCAGAAAGCGTGGAAAGGTTATAGATTGATGAGGGGATCTTGCCAAAAAGACTATTTTCTTCGAGTGCAAGAAAGCGCAGGCTTCTTAATTGGCCTAGTGCATCAGGAATGATGCCTCCAAGGTCATTATGACTTGTATCGAAGTTTATCAAATTGGTAAGATTCCCAATGAAGGGTGGGATTCCTCCAGTAAAATGATTTTTGTCGATATAAAGAGTTGTGAGCTTGGACATGGAAGCAATCTCCACTGGAACCTTTCCCTCTAACTTGTTTCCACTAACATCGAGGAAATGGAGGTTGAAGCAATGAGATAGGTTAGATGGGAGCCTTCCTCCAAAAGAATTATTAGAGAGACTGAGGATCTTTAACCTGAATAGACGCCCAATTTCGAGTGGGATACCACCATAAAAACTATTTTTTGAGAGGCTAATCTCTTGAAGGAAGCTCAAGTTCCCTATGAAAGGAGACAAAGAACCCACCAAGTCCCTGGATGATAGATCCAAGAGAGTGACTCTGTCCCTTCTACGGCTACAAGTGATGCCTTCCCACTGGCAGAAGTGGACAGAATCATTCCAAGATTTCAAAATCCCTTGAGGGTCTTTTGAAATCTTGGCCTTGAAGGCTTTCAAGGCCATATGATCAGTTGTATTTCCTGGAAAAGCGGAAATGGCATTTGTGAGAGTTTGAAAACAAAAAATGTGGAGTAGCAAGTGCATAATGGATTTGAAAGAAGTTGTGTAGTAGGACATTGTATGACTGAATCAGAATGGAGCAAAGACACAAAACTTTAGGGAGTTTTGAAATTTAGCACAAGCAGCAAAAAATTTCTATGACTGAGAATGATATCATCTTGTGTTTTAGCAAACACAACTCTGTTGTGGATGAGGAGAAGTAATCATCTTCTATTTATATAACAAATGGAGCACAATAATACAAATTTGATAATTACAACTCCTCTGAGGGGGCGGTGGCTCCTCAAGAATCATCTATCTTGAATATTAACAGTGCAATTGACTGATTTATTTACTTATTCTCCTCAGGGAAACCATATTTTTATAATAGAAATGTTTTTTTAATAATTCTTTGGAAGTAGTAGTCAATTAAGGGTTAATTCGTGGAAACACATTTCACCGGAAGAAGTAAAAAGACTTTGACCATACTAAAGTGTGTTTGATGGGAGAAATTAGGGACAAAGACTTTGGTGCTTTATTTGTAAATTAGGCGACGTTTATTACAGATTTTTAGTTACCTACAATAAACATATAAAAATTCTAATAATTGACTACTATTGTTTTTCGTTTGTATAAAATTAATACATCTCATCAATTAAAGAGATCCAACTTTAACTTAAATGAGATTTCTCTTTTAATTAGAATGTTTTTCGTACACGTAGGTCCATTTCCTACTCCTTTCTCAACGAAAGGAGCAAAGGAATTCCCTTTTCATTATTCCACGGTTGACGATGACGTTGTTTTGGGATTGATTTTCTAACTTGCTCTGCACTGCACCAATGATATATGTATAGGTGGGTCCACTATAGTTGCTTTCTAAGTAGCTTTGCTGGACTCAATCGATCATTTTCCCACAGTTGGTGATGACCTTGTTTCGGGATTGATTTTCTAACTTGGTCTGCACTACACCAATGATATATGTATAAGAGGGTCCACTATAATTTCTTTCTAAGTGGCTTCACTGGGACTCAATCGATTGTGTATGGCAATTATAGAAAGGAAGTTTGCAGGATGTTTCCAGTTTTCGTTTACATTAAATAATCAAATCTCATCAATTAAGGCAAGAATCCAGCTTTAACTTTAATGGGATTTCACATCTGGAACGCTTTTCTTACCTACACGTACGTAGGTTGTCCAGGGTGTTACGTATGAGTTTCTATACGGGTGTTATGTACGAGTTTATAAACGGGCCGAATGTAGCTCACAATAGTTATCACCAACAACAATCAGATTTAGAAGTTGAGTTTGTCATTGATAGAATAGAAATCATCCAAATGTCAAAACAGAAGATGAAAAAAGGGTTACTGCTAAATCATAAAATTTAAGCTTAACATTGAAAGGAATATCAATGGCATCTCAGGCAGGTATTCTTGAATGCAAAATCATCAGGTTCTTTAAGCACACAACCCATTTTAACTCAAAAAGTAACCTACTTCTATCAAAGATATGATGGCCCTATGATTGCAATTCAAAAAAATCTGAAAGTCTGTATCTGAAATGGTTATGGGGTAAACTAAGACTTAATTATTGAGATTTGATTTCTACCTAATATTACCTTTACAGAAATCACAGATAGATATTTTTAGTTTGAAAATCAGAATGTAACTCATTTTCGAACAAGATAAAAATGGAGAAATTGCACGACCAAACAACATTTATATGGCACAAGGGAACCTCAACGCGGTTCAAAACGAAGAAAGGAAATGGAAATATAATATTGATAAAAAAACAGTAAAA